TGCACAGATCCCCTAATTTATGTGAGTAAATACATTTTGCCGTATTTATAGAAAAAAAAGTCACTTTTTAAACAATAAGCTAATAAGAAATTGTGTGGTTTATGTAACTGAGCTTGTTTCTGGGGAATAGTGGAATTTTCTGTTTTACAAAGGTAAGCAATGTCAAAGATCATAGCAGCAATTACCCAATATTAGCCTTATCTTTGGATGTTTTAAAAGGAAACTGTTGTGTCAAGTGAAAACCACTTTGCCTGAAGAACAGTGTTCACAATTTTGGGTAATAACTTATGTGAAAGCTGTATGTTCAAGAAAAGTTAGTTTAAAATAAAAATAACATTTTTATAATACGCCTTTCTTCTTACGTGAATTATCTCCCGGTAGGACAGCAGTAAGTTTATAGACTTACAGTGCTAAAGTTTGGAGTTCAGTTCCCTGTGGTGGACCCAGCATATAACCCAATGGATGCTTGGCTCTAAAACAAACAAATAAACTTACATGAATTTCATTTATCAATCAGAAGTGCATCAGTACTATTGAAAATCATGCTATTGGTGACATAAAATCAACAGTACATCACCTTAATAAAAATAATTCTTGATAACTTGATACATTTCTTTTTCTGATCTGAGACTGTAATTTTCTGTATAACTACCAATAGCAATACAATACTTTAACTGTTTTTTGCCTTGGTTTAGTGTGCTTCACTTTTATAGATACAGGTAACTTTCTAAGTTTGGAATTTTTATAAAATGACTGGACCACCGTGACCCGTTGGGTCACCCACTATTCAGAGGTTATGAAGAATTCAAGCTAATTTCAATATTGCACCGAAATAAAAGTTTATTTTGAGATAATTTAATTAAATATTTCAATCCATTCGTGTTATTCATAATTCAAGAAAATATATTTGATTGTTGAGTAGGAGTAAAACGAAAGACCATTTCATTTTTCAAAAAGGCGAAGTAAGAAGTTTCGTAAAGAGCGCGAACAGTAGTGTGATATAAAATTACTCATGCTAGAAATTTTCATAAAGTGACCCAAAAAATGGCGCAAACTCAGTAACCTGTGGCCTGATTTTAACAAAACTGGTTTTATTCTGTTTCTATTCTCTTTTCAGGGGTACCATATTCTTACAAATATGGCGCTATTGTCAGAGTTTTAGTAGTATATAGATAGATTCTTCAAGATCTTGTTTTTGTCATCTTACATTTTTTAATTTAAGAGATATAATATAATAGCTAATGCTCGGCGAGAGGTTTTTGTTTATAAAATTTTGATGCTGTTCTCGACTTGATTTTTATTTCATTACCATGGTGCTAGCAACTCCACGTCCTTATCCAATATTGCCAAAGAAACAACGAGAAGTAGCCATTCCGGTAAACATAAGCAAAGAGGGGAAGACAGCATGTCAGTTGCACAAGTGGCAAGTGATAGCAACATGAAGACGCAGGATCAAAGCCGAAAGGAAATGTCCGATCCTCAATGCAAAAAACACTACTAAGATCGGAACATGGAACGTTAGGACCATGTTCCAGACTGGGAAAACCCAGCAAGTAATTCAAGAGATGAAACGATACAAACTAGATATTCTTGGTTTAGCAGAGATGAGGTGGAGTGGATGTGGTCGTAGTCAGTCTGAAAAGTTACCATCTTGTGGTCAGGTCATGAACAGCAAGCAGTAAACGGAGTTGGAATGATGAAAAGCAAAAGAGCTGACAAAGCTTTGGTGGAATGGAAGCCAGTAGATGAAAGAATTTTAACGGCAAGATTTGTTACTAGTCAGTCTAGATTGACAATAGTTCAAGCCTATGCCCCCACTGAGACAGCTGATGAAGTTGTTAAAGTTTTTATGAGAGGCTGGAAGAAACTGTAGATGGGGTTCATAAGTATGACATATTGATGGTGATGGGCGATTTTAAAGCAAAAGTGTCCCCAGAAAGAATTAACATCGAAGGAACGGTGGGGCCGTTTGCATCATCACCTGTAACAAATGAAAATGGTAATCGATTTAGAACCTTCAGCAGTGTCAATGGACTTTGCATTGGCAATTCCTTCTTCCAACACAATTGCATACATAGATGGACTTGGAGGTCGCCTGATGGCCAAATTAAAAATGAAATCGATTACATATGTATTAGTAAGCGTTGGCGAAGATCACTGATGGATGTAAGATCATACAGAGGAGCAGACGTTAGTTCAGATCATAACTTAGTAATCGGAAAGTTCAAAGTGAAATTTAAAGTGCAGCAGAAGACTAAGAAACCTATGGCTTTTGCAGTGAATAAGTTAAAAGATCCTAGGATGGCAGAAGAGTTTCAACTTAAGTTGCGTAATAAATTCAAAGTCCTTGAAAATCTAGAGGACATAAGAGACGCATTGGGAAGGTTTTAAAAAGAACATTCATGAAGTGGCCGAAGAAGTACTGGGTAGAAGAAGAGGAACCAATAGAGAAAGTTGCATAAGTGATGGTACGCGGACGGTGATTGATGAAAGGAAAAGGGTCAAGCAACTGAGAGAAGCAGCAACTAGACAGGATTACGGTGACTTAGCTGAGCGATATAACCAACTAGATAGAGAAGTGAAAAAGAGGTGTAAGAATGATAAGAATCAATGGATTGAAAATAAAGGGAATGAAGCGCAGGAAGCTGCAGATAGAGGTGATAGTAAAACTGTATATAAGATAACAAAAGAGCTTACATCTGGTTTTAAAAGTAGTGGAGGTGTACCTAGTAAAGCGAAAAATGGCACGAGATTGACTACGGAAAGAGAACAACTGGAAAGGTGGAAAGAACATTTTAATGAAGTCCTGAACCAATGTGAACCTGATATTTTGTTAGACTTATCTAATGAAAATGTCAGAGCAATTTTAAACGTAAACCTAAATGACATATCTCTAGAAGAAGCTAGAAGAGCATTGCAAAATCTGAAAAACAACAAAGCAGCAGGGTCAGATGAGTTGCAACCTGAATTACTGAAGAACGGATGTCAGGCGTTGGAACTGGAGTTATTAAATATTTTTAACAAGATTTGGAGACAGGAAACTATTCCATCAGAATGGGGTCAGGGTGTGATTGTCACTATTCCGAAAAAAGGAGACCTAAGTGATTGTAACAACTGGAGAGGAATTTCTTTACTATCAATACCTAGTAAAGCTTTTTGTTATATATTATTAGAAAGGTTGAAAGATGAAGTGGACGCCTTATTAAGGGAGGAACAGGCTGGATTCAGAAGCGGAAGATCATGCACTGAACAGATATTTACCTTACGAAACATCATAGAACAAACTTTAGAATTTAAAGGTCAAATTAACTTAAACTTTATTGATTTGATAGTGTCCATCGAGAAACGTTGTAAAAAATTGTGGGACTATATGGTGTACCAGAAAAATTTATAAACATATTCAAAAGTCTTTATGAAAACTCCAATAGTTGTGTAAAAACTAACGTTGGGACCACGGAGTACTTTAATGTATACAGTGGAGTGAGACAAGGTTGTGTGTTATCTCCCTTTTTTTTTCTTTTGGTGGTAGATTTTGTCATGAAAAAAGCAATGAATGTTGGTGATGGGATAATGTGGGG